GAGGCTCCCAGGGGGCTTGGTTGCACTGTTCCTGGAGTGGCAGTTCTGGTGGAAGGGAATAGCTGAGGAGCAGGAAGGTGGGGGAACTTCACACTATTTCTGTTTCCAGAGTTATCTGAAGCCAGGGCTCCTTTGAAACACTCTTTATGAGCATTTTGTATAATTCAGGGCACATTTTCGTGAAGTCCAGCCCCAGTTTTAATACCATTAGTCAGACCTTGGTGGCAGGATCCTGGAAGGATCTAGGTTAGCTCTTGAAATAAAGTGTTTGAAATATCCCAGAGAAAGCATTTGTAAACCTGGTCCTACAACTGGTGGCTCTTTTCCCAAGTGACAAGCACAATACAACAGCCTCTGAAGCTGTTACCTGAACAGGGTACCATCCCCAGCTCTCTTCTCAAGGGCCTTCGCTGGGGAATCTCTACGGAGATTTTTTTAGTTTTTGTTTAGTTTTTAATTGGGTAATGAGCTAAGCAGTTTTTCTGGCTTGCAGGTTGAACTAGGACAGGTTACTGCTTTCTGGGTAGCAGGCCTCCCCCTACCCTACATACCATCTGCACTGGTAGAAACTGGGATGTAGCTTCTAGATGAAGGCACCTGAAGAGTGTGTGCTGTGATGAAGTTTCAGTCAGAAGGAGAAGCAAGCTAGCGTAGGTATCTTAACAGTAGAAAATAATGGGAATTGAAATCCCAGGAGAAGGGGTTTTGCTGAGAAAAAGAATCGTGTTTGGTTGGATAGAAATCTTACTTTTGCCCAGCATTTGGGATAAGGCAAAGATGCAAAAGGATTTTTTTTTTCCTATCCTACTCCCAAGTTGGCTGAGGATACTATGTTCTCAATAGATATTGGCTAGACTTGTGTAGACAGTCCTTAACCTGCATATAAGACAGAACATGTTTGGATATGGTCCATATACCTGGGAATGAAGCATGAGGCTGGATGAAAAAAGGAGAGAGGCTTGTTTATTTGGGAGGTAGGGTTGTGGGCTGGCTGCTGTTAGTCCCACAGTCTGAATGCACAGGGCTGTGTGTCAGTGGGGGGCACTGATACCCTGCAGTGGATTGAGTAACTGCTAATATATTTCTGTACACGCGCATTTGGTTCCATAAGGAACTTTGGGGAAACCTGTGGAAAAATATCTGAAGAAAACCAAAATGCCAAACGTTGGATGTTTCTTTCCTTTCTTCTTTCCTTTTCTTTCTTTGGTTGTTTTAATTGTTCTGTGGTGGTTTTAATGGATTTGAGACAGTGGAGCAGCAGCTGCCTTTCTGATTTTTGGCTGCTTTTTGTGAATAATTTAAAAAGAAAATTTACATTTTGGAGACAAACCTGTGGGCTTTTTTATTGGTACAAACATTGTATTTAACACTAGGGGTTTTGTACAGTTTTTTGCCTTTTCTACTAGAAAACAATGTAAAGTGATTCACAATGTGACGAGAAAACAAATTGCCACTATGACCAAATGTAGAGTCTGTTCTGCAGTAACGGGATTTAATCAACTCAAAGTCGTGGTTCAGTCGTAGAAATGCTTTTCTTTACCTTGTTTGAGCTGTTCCTTTTTTTTCTTGTTTTGATTTGCAAAACAAAATGTCTTTTTGTGTGAAATTGTGTTGTACTTTGTAGAGAATTACGGATTTTACTTTAATGGTTTAAAAAGCAGAGGAGCACATGTTGCTTATCTGATCGCAGAGTTTGTGTAGTGGATTTAAAAATGAAAAGATTTGTTACAAGTTTGGAACGAGCGAGTATGTGTTAAAGGAATTTTCTTCCTTTTGTGTGTGTGTTTTTGTTTGTTGTTTTTTTTTTTTTTTTTGTCCCAAAGGGCAACTTAAAGCTGTTTTAATTGCACAGACACACCGACAACAAGTCATTTTGTATATGCCAAGTGTGGTACCTTCCTTTGTTTATTTGCTATTAAACTGTTTGAGAAGAGTCCTTGTGTGTTGTATTTGTGTCTTAAACTTGAGGTTCTTTTGGGGTCCAAGTGTGGGAAGATGAGGAGAGAGATGAGAGAACTAAATTCCAGTTTCTTAGCATGAGCCACAAAAATTTTCATGGCTCAGTACCGCTTGTTCTGGGTGTATAATATAGCCCTGGATTTTTACCTCTATGTAGATGAACTACTTTGAGTAGAAATGAAGAAGGCTTTTTGGTGGTTTAGCCTCCATTTTGTTTCATTTGGTAGTCATGTCCCCTTTAGACATTAGATACAGAAAAGCTTGGATAATGCAAATATGTGATACACTGGGGAGTGAGGTGTAGGCATATCCAGCCTCACAGAACTGGTGCTGCATAGCCCCTTGCCTGTCTGTGCACTGTGCTTCATGGTGTTTCAGGGGCTAAATAACTTCGGCATAACACCAGACTTCAGCTATATAGGAACAGCACATGTGCGTGGTTGGTGTGTGGGATTAAATAGGCACCAGCTCGTACTGCTCCTATGAGCTCCATACCCGCCACTGCCTCCTTACCCCTTACAGGTTCAGCAAGCCTGGCCATGTTCCTATCTCCTGGTTGTGCTCCATGAAGGTATCTGCAGTCCCCAGTGATCCTGGTCCTGGAAATACTACACAGGGAAACCCCAAATGGGTTGGGATTACTTACTAGCTCAGGTTTTGTGATAAGTGAAAGTCACCTGCTTTGCTTTTAGGACAAAGATATGTTAATCACATGAAATAAAATGAGTTGTAAAAAAGTAAATATTTGGTGTAGGCAAAGTATAATTCATTCAGAAACTTGCCATGAGTTTGACATTAATATTGCCTCTCTTGGAAGGAAAGTACCACAATGGCTGTGACTTTGCCACGTTTCTGAAAGCTCCTAAAATGCAGTGATGTTACTCCTTCCTTCTGCTGTCTTGCATCTCAGAGACTGCAAGCATTTTCAGGGCAGCTATGTTTCTCCTCCGTGTCCTTTTCCTCTGTTATCTGGCATACTCTTGTTTCACCCCATTACTTCCTACATGATTGTAAATCTGAGAGCACTTGCAAGCATCAGGATTGAGTGCTGCATTCCTTTCCCCGCAGCGCACCAATTGTGAAGCGAGGCGCTGAGCCACCAACTGTTGCAGAGTATGCTGGGATCCCTGCAGTTAATTTGCAGCTGTTGAGAAGGGAGGCTGGAGAGATTTCAGTTCAGTAGGTCTGAGGTGAAGGATGGAGAGAAACAAATGAATCAGAGAAAGGGTTTGTTTAGGTGGGATGGAAGATTCCTACTTGTGCAGAAAGTTGGCTAGTCTCATCTTAAGCAGTCAGAGCTCTGTCAGTTGTATGTTATGGAACTGGTACTAGATCCCTCTGGGTAGGTGGCTTTTTTATTTTTTTTTGAAGCTTTTTTCTTTAATTTAAAAGGCCACCACCAATCAGTAGACAATTAAACTACAAATAAGAGCCAGTGTATTAATCTCTGAAAATAATCAGCATTTCACGAGTTGTTATATTTATCAACATCAACAGGAAATACACAAACCTGTAAATGCAAGTCCTGATGTTGAATGTTTTAGGAGAAATTTTTTTCCTCTCACATCTGCCTCCACCTTTCACTACTTGTTTTGACTCCAGTCTCCAATCTTCCTGACTTTACCAGCCATGTTCTGCTGTCTTCAAATGGCCAGGAGTCACCGGGGATACATTATGAAGAGCAGCAGGGAGGAAGACAAGCAGCTCAATGTGGTCACTCGGAAGAAGTGACTGCATGATTAGCTACACTGCGTGACAGGTGAGACTCCCTAATTTGGTGTTTCTATGCACCTTCCAGGCTTACTTATTTGCAGTTACCGAGAAGAAACTGTGGATCATTTACCATAGAAGCCATACCTGAATCTTGTACAAACTAGAGCTATCTTGAGCCACAGAGTGGTGATCATTCACCACTCAAAGCAGCACAGGTAGTCAATGTCTTGGTGATTCTACCCATTTACCCCTCCTTATTTAGGCAGCTGCATCGGGCTCAGAGTGGTATGTTCCATATCAGAGTATATTTCCATGTTTTGAAAACGGCCAGTTTGAGCCTGATGGATCTAACCCTCATTTTACTAGGGTAAGTTTTTATCTCAGTAGGTGAGTTAAGTTGATTCTTAAAAGACTAAGCACAATTTCATAGGAGAACTCAAGAGCACGGAAGTACATACAGTGTGATCAACAAAATGCAGGACAGATCATTTCCCTCCTGTTAGATGGGCTTTGTCAGAACGCAAGGCATCCTCTTCTCACTTTGCCTATTCTTTGTGGGATATGAGAGTGAATATTGAGGGGAGCAGTGCTTTGGTGAAGTGGTCCAAAAGCATCAGGATAAGTTTGAGTTACAGCCAGGTTACTTGTGGAAGGCTAATTTTGCAAAGTAGTCTGCTCCAGCAAAGAATGATATGATTTTTGTTTCCCCCTTTCTTGAGTCCTGGCTTGATTCTTTCATGTAGCAGACTCCAATGGTTGCTGTCCCTGGCCTCTTCTCCAAGTCCAGAAATCTGATGGCCTCACCATTATCAGTGCTTTCCATGGGGAGCGGTCTTCTGCATCTTATGTCCATCCCACCACCCATCTCCAGAGAGACATATAAGAATTAATGTAGGGAGGATAAACTTTCTTAATTCTGAATCAGAATTAAAATCTATAAAGTACCTAGATAATAATTTTAACGGTGTTGCTGAAGTGATTTTTGCACATTAACCAGCTGTGCCTCAGCGTTAATTTTTCTTCAGCCTTCTGTAGATTTTTCCAGTTTCTAATTCCAGAATTTGAGAGTACTCGGAGTCTATGCTGAAACATCATTAGCACCTGCTTTAAAAAAAATGCTGAATTAAATATTTTAAATATAATAGAGTATATAAGCTCCCAAAAGAGAACCAGTCTGATTGTAGCAAGACTTTTCTACCATTTAAAATGCTTTTCCTTTTTAAAATATTTTTCTGAGGAAATTCTGGATAAAAGTATGGATGGAATCTCTTAAGATCATGACTGCTATGATATAAAGCCTCTGGGTAGATCGTGGTTCCTTATTCTTTTGTGTCCTGCTTTCCTTAGGGATGTTACCTCAGGAAGGCTCCCTTGGGTTTGTGTTTCCTTAGGCAGCCATGCCACAGGCCTGGATGGTCCAACTGGTGGCCCGTGAGATGATTCTGTTGGTATTTACCTTTGCTTGGGGAAGAACTGCCACCAAATTCACACAGAAGCAGGGAGGCAGCTGGAGACATGCCTCCTTCTGCACGTGGGTCTGTTGTTAAAACTCTGAATTGCAATTTCTTTGGCCTGTAAAATGATCCCAAAACAGGTGTCTGGGACTTGTGTATCTGAAAAATGTTAGACTTCCCTGAGGCATTCCCCACCCCCTCCTCCCCCCGCAAGTTTGGTATCTCTTCTTATGAAGGACAGAGTAAATCTAGAGATAACCGAGACTGAGCCCATTAAAAATGCAGCACATCAATGGGGGTATGAAACTTGACTCCTAGATGTGTGTAGGAGCGTTAAAGCTATATTCTAATTGGGCTGACAATTCTTTTATGCAGTCTGAAGGAGCAGAAATCTGTTGCTTTGGGTCATTATTGTCATTCATCGTAAAAGATGAGCAGGTTCTGGATGCAGGACTTCAGCAGTGCCTTTGACAATTTATGTTGCAAACTCTTGGAGGACTGTCATGGGTATCTGATGGCCATGAGCAACAGTCAGTCATGAACAAAGTTTTTCAGGATGGTTAGCTTCTTATTGACCCTGAAATTAAGAAGTCAGTGCCTTATTTGCAGCAAATCTGTGACAGAGCTGACCATTGTCCACAGAAACAGTCCATATTGTCAGCTGAGGCCCTCAAAAGGGAGGCTGAATTTGTGCCTGGCAAGTATCGGGCATATTGTCGCAAGTATAATGCTGCACGTGTGTACGTGCTGGAGCCTTCTAGTTCATACCTTACTTTTTAAGGCATGTATTGTTCCTAAAGCTACTACCCCTAGCTGAGGCTGCTACCTCCCAGGCTAGCCCACCACCACCACTGCTTGTAAAAGGTGATGGCTAGAGAGAGGGGAAAGAGACGACCGAGCCATCCCTGTGACTGCAGCTGATTGTCTCTCCCGAGGTATTAATAAGCTGCATACCGGCGGGCAGGGGTGGGCAGTTGGCTCGCCGTGACCTTGGGAGCCGGGGAGCCTGACTAGCATTCCTGGGAGCCACGTGAGCCGAGGACTGGCAGGCGCAGCTGTAGCCAATGCGGAGGAGACCAGCATGGGCTGCTCAGATTGAGTTTCACTCCTGTCGCCCGAGATTTTTCTCTTTCTCTCCCTGTTGTGCTTTTCCTTTTTGTTTATGGGGTTGGATGGGCGAATGCACTGATGGAGTCCTAGCGAGCAAGACGTTTGCCTAGGGGATTTGGGATTCTACCTTCAGTGCTGAGCAACCACTTCTTGCCATTGCCTACCACAGCTCCAGCCCCCTGACATGGCTGGGCTTTTATGGCTCCAAGCCTTCTGAGCACACAACCTGCCCTCCTCTATTAGGGCATTTTATGTTGTGTTCTCTTCTGTGCAATTCCTTTTTGCTGTCCTTAGAGGTTAGTGTATGAGGCTTTTTAATGCATGGGAGATGGGTCAGGACCAGACAAAGCAACAAATAGAGAAAGGACTCCATCTTTACCAGTCTAATCAGACCGAAAAGGCCCTGCGAGTCTGGATGAGGGTTTTGGAGAAGTCTGCGGATCCTGCTGGCAGGTTTCGGGTTTTGGGTTGCCTCATCACTGCTCACGCAGAGATGGGCAGATACAAAGATATGCTGAAGGTAAGGCGAACTGGAGATGCATGCATGCCATTGTGTCGCACCCACTACAGAGAGTGGCTGGAGATTAGAATGTGAAATCGGGGGTTTTGTTTTGTATATAGTAGAACATACCAGCTATTGAGCGCGTATTGCGGGCTGCCATAATCACTGCGTTGACCAATAGCTCCAGCCCACAAAATACACAGAATGCTACTTTTCACTGGGTCTGGTCCCTGAGGATTCCCAGGTTATTGAGGTTCTCCAGTTAATCATGGGGACCTTTCTTGATTTATTCCCCACATACAGGCACACCATGTTATCAGGCCTCGGGAAAAGGTATGAAAACAGGGCCTTTGCTCCACTTAAAGCTGTTTACAGTGTGTATGTCAGTGTGAAAAGAGATTTCCAAGTGGATTCTGTAGAATAAGCAGCAGTCTTGTGGAGACCTCTGTTATCTTGTTCAACTGCTGTTTGATATCTAATGTAGATCTTACATTGGTTCTTATTACAATTATTTGTTTGCAAGGGGGCTGATTAAGAGGGGAAAGAGGATGCTTTTTTGGCAGCAGGATTGAGAGACGTTCCGGGAGGGGTCTGACAGTTATGGTCAGAGAGGGGCTCCCAGTTGTCAGGACAGCATAGAAGGAAGGATACTGGGCTTGATGAAAGAGTAGTAAAAAGAAGCTGAAGTTACATTGTAAGAGCATGAGGATAAAAATGTTTGATTAAATGAACAAAAAGAGGCTGATGTATAGATCTGAGAAGTAACAGGATGCATACAGAGAGCAGCAGGCAGTGTTTGGGAGGGTGACTCAGGAATCTGGAAGACAAGGCAAGAGGATGTTGTAATAGTCCTAAGAAACTATCCCAGCGTGAAATAGGGTCTTGCTGAAGGGCCTTGATATTCTTGTCCTGATGTTTTTGGTTGCCTCTTACTAGACTGATAAACATTCGGCACTTAGCACAAAATGGGAAGGGGGTGCCCACATCTCATTGAAAAGTTTTTGGTAGCTCTGTTTAGAAGGGGGTGGGGGATATCTTACTAGTAAACCCATGCACATGTCAAAGCCCTATCTTAAAATCAAATACTTAGGATGAACAAGAAAAGAGTGGTGTTAATACACTTGGAAAACATTTGAAGAAAAACAATTCTGATAAGTGATGTGGAATTGGGTGGTGGCAGAAACAACAGACTGATTAGGGAAGAGAGAAGGAAAAAAGGTAAGATGTGGCTACCTGAAAGAAATATTTGAAGGCTTCACAGAAAACAAGAAACAGGCAAAGGAGTGAGCTCAGTATACCTGAACGGTAATTCATTACCTGAGAAGGGAGCAGAAAGTGAGATCAGAGTATGTGAATTCTAATTCTTCCCAGTATTAGGAAGGAAAAATGGCTTCAGTCAAACTGAAGATTTTACACCACGAGTGATCAAAGATAGAGGAAGGAGAACTTTAGCAATAAACTGTTGAGAGAGGAAATAACAGGAGAAGAGGTGTCAGAATTAAAGGCATGAAATTAACTGTGATTTAAGAAGGGTTATGATGCTCAATCTCTTTTGGAGAGGAAAATTACTTCACACCAAGGAAAGAGGCTGTGGCAATCAGGAAATAATGAAGAACTTGTACAAAGGTAAGGGAATGTGGGGAAGCATGAGCTAATGCACGTTACTGGGTCCACATAGCAGCTTTCCTAAAGGGCTAAGGAATCTGAGAACATATATACCCAAACATATGCAATTTATGGTTGGGTTTTGTGTTTTTTTTTTTAATTTTGTGAAGAATGTAAAATGTTCTGGTAGCTTAAATTATTATGTGTTGCTACTATACAAAAAGGAAGTAATTGGTGCCCTTGGGAATTGTTATCCATAAACCTAACTGATAATCTCTAATGAAAACACATACTGAGAAAATTGCTAGATATTTACCTTTGCTACTGGTATTAATTCAAGCCAGCAGTGTGCTTGGTTCATCACAAAACACAAAACAGTCGCTGCTCAGAAGAGTTTGCAGTCTAAAAGAAAAAGACTTCAGATCATTTAAGAGAACTGTATGCAATGAATCCTGAAGGTTACAGAATAAAAACTGTCAGGACTGCAATTTGTTAGTAAAACATTGATGAAAGAAGGAGCTTGCTTACTTTCTTTTATTATTAGAGTACTTTAATATCTTAAGAATTCCAGAGAAAGTGGAATAAATTAAATTCAGTGAAAGAAAACTGAGCTGCATTGTGTCAGATGTTTCCTGTTTCACCTACTTCTCTTTAGGGCCATTTAACAGCTTTTTTTTTTCCCCCACTAACTGCCAGCCTAGTTCATTTTCCTTGCCCCAAAGACTGTGTGGAGAGGTTTCTTCAGACTGCTCATAGGCCTTTTAAACCACCAGATAAACTGCTCAATGTATAGGATGGTTCTCAATCTGGGCTGCTGGACCGCTCGGAGATGAGCCAGTTGTCCAGTACAGAGTGCTACTCTGTGGGTGTTTGAGCTGTATTTAAATAAATTACACACTTTTATAAACACTGTCTTTTCTACTTAAAGTTTGCAGTGGTACAGATTGACACAGCACGGGAGCTGGAAGACCCGGATTTCCTTACAGAGAGCTACCTAAACCTGGCTCGCAGCAATGAGAAACTCTGTGAATTCCAGAAAACAATCTCTTACTGTAAGACATGCCTGAACATGCAGGGTACCACAGTGAGCCTGCAGCTGAATGGCCAGGTGAGCCTCAGCATGGGCAATGCCTTCTTGGGCCTCAGCATTTTCCAGAAGGCTTTGGAGTGCTTTGAGAAAGCTTTACGCTATGCACACAACAACGATGACAAGATGCTGGAGTGTCGAGTCTGCTGCAGCCTCGGGAACTTCTACGCCCAGATAAAGGTGCGGTAACCTAAGGGATGGAAGGGTGGTTGTCTTATGGCTTCAGGAAAGAATTGGAAATGGTGTGAATTTCAGCTTATTTCTTTGCTATAGGAAGTGAAATACTGAGAGAGTGTTGTAAGCTAAAATCTCTGCTTTGTAAAATCATCACTGAGTACTCTCCTTCACAATAGGGTTTGGAGGATTAGTGTAATGTTTATATAGCACAGCAGAAGCAGCTGTGAATATTCCTGTGTATTGAAAAGATCAAATGTAGCTTCAAAGGAGATCACATCAGAGGAGGTACTGTCTGCACACAGGGCTGGCAGCCAGAACTCATGGATTCTCTATTTCTGCCACTATCGCAGGCAAATAGCTATTTATATGAGCAAAAACAGGGAGGAACTGAGGATGGGGTGATTTGCCAGTTCTAACTTCTATTACAAACAGCAACAAATAGGTTTTCCTCACAAAATCTTGGGTTTTGTCACTAATGGAAGACTTACCAACTGAAGTGTTGAAAACTATCAGTAAACTTCCCTCATAATACCAAAAATAAAAAGAACATTGTGCTGGATACTTTTAAGGTATGAAATAAGAAGGGAGAAAAGAAATTTTAAAAGTTGTGGTTTCCTTTGTGCATCTTGGAGAATTAAAAAGTAAGAGGACTTTTTCATTTTTCATTTCTGCAGTCTCATGTAACTTACTTGAGAATGAGGTTAGATATTTAGATAATAGTTTTATGTACTTATTGTAAAATTAGATTTCTTTCTAAAACACTTTTAATGCAGAAAAATGCTTACTTATTGTGGATTTGGTGAGGCCATGATTCTTTGTTCCTGTTTCCTGCAATGATGGATAACCAGCCTCTTGAAGATCCTGACTCACCATATGGAGAACATGAGGGCTCCATGTAGATGTTGAAAGCAGAGATGATCTAAGAGCAGAGAAAGTTTTCAGCCCTTGGTTATAGAGGATGGTAAATGGTTCCTGCAGAGTAAAGTTGATGGCATACTATATAAAATTCATTTGCTATGTCATTGCCCCAGTGTCCTGAACCCAGAGAGTAATATGAATTCAGTATATGGCAATTCCACCTTCCACCATTTGATACCCAGTGAAAACATCTAGTGAAATACAGCACGTGGAAGAGGAGCAGCAGGAGTTGAAAGGTGTACAGAAATCTGCTAGCTTTTGCAGTGTTAGTAAATAAAAAATGGTTGCTTTTTTTTTTTTCTTTGATTTATTTTTGCTGTAACTGCTCTCTGTCTGTTTCTCTGCCTTACAGGACTACGAGAAAGCCTTGTTCTTCCCTTGTAAAGCAGCTGAGCTGGTGAATGATTATGGAAAGGGCTGGAGCTTGAAGTACCGTGCAATGAGCCAGTATCACATGGCAGTGGCCTATCGGAAGCTGGGGCGCTTGGCAGATGCTATGGACTGCTGTGAGGTATAGGGTGCAGGCAGACGCAGGGCTGTAGGCAAGGGGATCTTGCCTACAGGACTGGGAGGAAAAAAGATACCATGGCATTCACGCTTTATTCCAGATGTTCCTGCTGCCTCCTGGTCTTAGAGCTGTGGTTTCAGTAGCCCAGGGGGCCTCAAAATTTGGGGTCTATGAATGGCCCTGGGTTGGGAACATGTGAACAAGATTTTACGTGACTTAAAAAGATTATGCCATTTCTTTGGAGCTGACCTTTCAGTGGCTGGAGTGTGCAGTCCCAGCGCTGCTGTTTTGAAGCAGGAACAAGCTCTTTTACTGACCAAAGACAATTTCTTTCAGGAGTCCATGAAGATTGCCCTGCAGCATGGTGACCGGCCTCTGCAAGCGCTGTGTCTGCTGTGCTTTGCAGATATCCATCGCAGTCGCAAAGACTTGCAGGTACAGCACTCTCCTGCCAGGAAGGACAGAGGGGATAGCAAGAGGGTGTGAAAAGCCGGCCATAGCAAAACATGTGTTTTTCTCCCTGCTTCTGCAGACAGCCTTTCCTCGGTATGATTCCTCCATGAGCATCATGACAGAGATTGGAAACCGCCTGGGCCTGATCCAGGTGCTGCTAGGAGTGACTAAGTGCTGGATGATCCAGAAGGAGCTGGACAAGGTCAGTTACGAACTTGTTTCTACAGAAGTTTGTTAGACAAGATTAGAGCATACAGTCTTTTTCTGAACCATATGCCCGTCAAAGTGCAATAGAGACCTGTACCCGTTGGTTCTACCAACAGGGTCTGTTGCTTGTACAGTTACATTTCTCCGAATAGTCCCTCTCAGCCAGGAATTTGTTACTAACAGTATGAACATCTATTCTGAGTCAGACTGCTGACTTGTGGAATTGTCTCATTAGTCAGTCCTGATTACTTTTAAGCACTACACTGAGAAACCAGCACTGAGGAAAGGAAGCCTACTCCCGCCATTGTAGGCAATCAGCTTATGCTTATGCTCTGAAATAGATTCCACTGCCTACTTTTTAGCTATATGACTAAGCTCATTGTTGTGATAGTGATGATGCTTAGACAGCTCTACAGCTCCACCATGTGCTTTGCAGGCAAACGTGGCATCCAATTCCTAGAGAAACTCTGAAGGTACATAAACTGTGATGTGAAACTGAGAAATGAGAGCAGGAAATCATTTGGGAATAGATAACCGGTCAGTGTAGTACAAGGGGCAACGTTCCTTATTTTGAAAATGCTTAGGCAATGTATGTGTGTTAAAATCCGGATTGTGCTAGATGCAGCAGATTGCATTGCAGGAACACTACTGGGCTGCAGAATGAGATGCTCAACGGTTAGCCTTGAACTAGTGCTGAACAACCTGGAGTGCCTGCACAGTGCCACATCAGGATGCTGGTTTGGGTGTAGATATGATGAAGATTCACTCTTACCACTCTCATGAGAGACAAAAAAATTTAGCTCAAATGAAGCATCCCAGCTATTAGGAAATCAGGTATGTGTCTGTCAGAAAAGACAAGATCAAGGTGCTGTCAGCATCCACATTGCCTACAGCAGGGAATCAGTTGGGTAAGATACACCTTGCAATCTCAGTAAGTAAACACTATGTTTGCAATGGAAGAAGAAACCGTGTAGTTAGAAACTTTGCTCAGTGTAATCCCTTCCCAGCCTCGTATCTCACATTCAGAAGAATGGGACAGGACACAGCAGGTAGGCCTCTACATAACAGAATATTCAGAGCACTCATCAAACCCCTACATCCACTGATCCCACCTCCAGCCATCACCACCCTCTGATATCACAAACAGCTCTCACTTGAGAGCCTGGTGAGGGCTCTGCACAGAGTCCTAATCTCACCAAAACCCACAAAAGAAGAGAATGAATAGATGAATCTTGTATTCTGTTCCAGGCATTGGAGGGAATGTCTGCCCTGGTGGGTCAGGCACCTTATGCCCATTGCCCCAGATGTGACCTCCTCAAATGTCACAGCCCTGAATACTCACCCAAGCCTGTTCTTCAGCTTGCCAGTCCCAGTTTCCATTTCTCAGGCTGCTCATCCCAATATCAGTTACCTAATAAATCAGTTTGCTAACTTTTTACTTGCTGATTCCCTATTGTCCTAGCTTCCTCCATCTTCCCGGTCTCCTCAGCCAGTTAGTCTATTTCCTTTTATTTGCATGTAGGCAATGGTATTGCAGATCCTCCCAGGCTGCTGTCCCAGCCTGCTTGCCCAAACTCTTGTGCAGTCTCATATTCCTGTCCACGACAAACTGTCCCCTGGATTTCTCAGCGTCTCTTCCCCCACCCCACATGCCTCACTTTGATTCTTAGTCCCAGTCATTAATTTCAGGGGTTTCCAGTACACAGTCACTCTTAGTAGGCACAGCTCTCAGTTATGTTCTATCTGCTAGCCTTCAGTTCCTGCTTCCCTCTTCTACAAGTTCCTTATCCCAGGCTGTGGCTGCCACCACAGATCTAATGCCGCCATCTCTGCATTCGAAGTGCATTCTTTCATCTCATCTGGTCCTCTTCTCCCAGAATAGCAGTAATGCCAAATTATAGGGTAGAAATTTTATAATGTTCTTCCTGAAAACTACTGCATCACAAGGGAGACCTCTTCTTCCCCTTGGACAAATCCGAAGCACGTCTCAATAGTTCTGGAAAACAGAGACTGATGATCAGAACAGTGAGGAACACTGGGGCATCTAGGGTAAAGTAGGGACTCATTTGGTATAACAGCTGCTATGCTAAATACTTTCCTTCAGATTGAAAAAGACAGATAGCAGTACACTCACTCCTACATCACACCATGAGTAAGTAGGACAAAGTGGATATATGAATAGCAGAGAAAAAATGGAAGAGCGTGGTGTGTTGGTGGTGCTGATCCCTTTCCTCCCCTTTTATACAAGTGAAATTAGAGTTGCCCAACAATTATAGAGCCTGTAGGGTAGGATGGGGGAAAGGCTTGCTTTGCTTGTGCTTCATCACAACCCCAATGAGCATGTGTGACTGAGTTTAAATAAGTCTGTATTCTCTCTGCTTGGAAACACCAGCCTCTGCCAACACCATGCCCCTACTTTGCGCTGTGTGGCTGGAACAGAAATGTAGCTCTTGGATTACTTGTGGTCTTTCAGAAACCAAGCTTTTCTTCTGGATGAACTTTTGGGAGAGGACGGAAATCTGCCAGACAGCTATCTTGCATCTCCAGAGTTGCAGTGATGCTTGTTTATCTAAATTCTGCTCTGTACCTCTTCACCTCTTTCTTTTAATAATTCCCATAGGCCATTCATACAAGTCTGGTTTTGATATATCAGACTGAGAACTCATGACACATGCTCTCCGTTCACAGGCTCTGGAAAGCATTGAAAAGGCACAGGAGCTGGCAGAGGGACTAGGGAACAAGGTAGGATCCTACAGCTTCTCTTCAGCACTCTCTGTAGTCTTCTATAAGGCAACTTAAGAAGCCAAGCATTGAAGTATCCAGACTTGTTATTGCTTGTTAACATGTCTGTATTAACCAGCTGATGCTTGGGGTCTTGCTTTGCTGTGAAATGTTTAGTTGTGGGCAATTGCACATATGATCCATCAGTGTGCAAGTCTGAAAAGGGAGGGAGGGAGTCGCAGCAGGATAAACAAAGGGGAATGGGAAGCAGTAAAAATGGGGTATGAAACAAGCAGAGAGCTAGAGGATTAGGGGTCTTGAAAAATATTATTGCCCTGAGCAGCAGCTGAACTCTGTGCTGGCTGGAGGTAAAGGGAAGTGAAATAATACAGTATATGTGATGGCTAGCTCAGGAAAACCGTCCTGATGAAAAAGCTGCGGAGTCCCTCAAACGTGGTGTCCCCTTTTGTGATACAAAGAAGTAGGGGTAGTTGCAGGAAGTGCTGAGAGACTAAATGTCCTTATGACTGATGCTGTCCGTCGGGCAGCTTTCTGTGCCGCTATTTCTCTAGCTGGCTGATGGGGCTGTAGTGGTTTCCACTCCTCCTGTTACTGCTCTGTCTTCACCTTCTTGTTCACTTTTCTTACGTTTTTGCCCTTCACGTGCAGCTTGGCCTGCTGAAGCTCCACTGCCTTTGTGAAAGGATCTATCGCACGAAGGGGCAGCAGCAAGAACTGCGTGACCATGTAGTGAAGTTCCATGAATGCGTGGAGGAGATGGAGCTGTACTGTGGCATGTGTGGAGAGTCCATTGGGGAGAAGAACAACCAGCTCCAGGCGTTGCCTTGCTCCCACTTCTTCCACTTAAAGTAATGAGCTGGAAGTACTAAAGATCCTTGTCGTGACATTAGTCATAGGAAAGAGCTGTTCGTGCCCAGAGCAGGACAGTCCTATGCATGCTGTTCCCCAGGTCTTTGTCCTGCTTACCTGTGCCCCGCAGAATCCCATTGCAGCGTTGTGAATCCCATGGCCTTGGAGGGTGATTTAGCCATAATATCCATCCCACTCCCACTTCTGTCCTCTAACTGATTGTTCACCCGTGTCCTCACCTTGTAGGTGCTTAGCCCAGTTCACAGGTTCTCATTTAATTCCTCTTGGGCAATCAGTTCTTCACTCCCAGGGGCAGTTTGGATTTTTTTTTCCCCCGAATCCCCCCACTTTCTCTCTTGTCTAGAGGTACACTCAGGTGAAGAAGGTGTTCAGTCTGTTATTTTGCTACTGCCATGAAAGAAGTTAGCCGTACCCCCGCTTTATTTTTAGAAGAAACGCGAGTGTAACGAAACACTTAGTTCTGAAAATTGAGAATTTAAAATCGCAGCCTCGCCATGACACCAAAATCGGGATCAAAGTACTCGGCAGCCAGAGGTGCCCCGCGAGCTCTGCAGATTTGTCTCCGGCAGTACAGGAACCTACTCTGGTAGAGGAACGCGCTGAAGTGCCTCTGCGGAACGGGTGGAAAAAAAGAGATGAAATCTTTGCCCGTGACGGGAGGGACGTTTTTCCCGGTGTTATTGTGTGGTTAACCGCCCACAGCACAGCACCGGGAGCGGCCCTGGGGGCGCCTCAGGCCGCAGGGGCCCCCCCCGCAACCCACCTCCTCCCTTTGCAGGTGCCTCCAGACCAACGGGACCCGGGGCTGCCCCAACTGCCGCCGCTTGTCGGTGAAGCCCGGCTACGTCTGACCCGCCCGTGGGGCTCGGCCTGCGCCGTCGGGACTGCTGGGGGAACCTCGAGAAGGGGGGGGCCCTTCAGGCGGTGCCGCGGGGCTCGGGTGGGCGGCCGGGGGCGGCCTCGGTCCGGCCCCGCTTCCTCGCTCCCTCTGTACGGGGACTGGCTGTAATAAAGGGCATCGCCGGGAGAGTTTCCCCGACTGCCGCCGCGACCGGGCTCCCCCTCGCTGGGGCGAGGGGGGGGGTAGGGGGGGGGAATCGGGTGGGTGGTTGGGCGGGCAGCAGCGCCCAGTCGCCGCTCCGCCCCTGCCCCGCACTAAGATGGCGGCCGGGCCATCACTCAGCAGATTTGGCCGGTGGCACGTGACCGGCGCGGCGCTTTCTTCCCCTCGCTACCAACGCCGGCAGATTCGGCAGATCCGTCGGGGGGGAGCGGAGGGGCCGCAGCGGGGACAACGAGGAAGAAAAGAGGGGTCGCGGAGCTCCCCCCCGCCCCGAGCAGCCTCGTCCCGTTGCCTCCCGCCTATGTTCCTGGGGCGAGGAGGGTGGAATCTGCCGCCCGGAATCCGCCGCCTTGTGCGCTGACCGGCTGGTTGGCTGGGGGCAAGATGGCGTCGGTGTGGGATGAGTCCGAGGTGAGGGGGCCCGGGGGTGCGGTGGCGGGAGACGGCGTGAGGCGGGGGGTGTCGGACCGAGGGTGACGCTGCCGTTGTGCCCCCGCAGGACGGCGTCGGCGAGGAGGTGCTGAAGATGTCCACGGAGGAGATCGTGCAGCGCACGCGTCTCCTCGACAGCGAGATCAAGGTAGCGGCCAAGGGCCGGGGAGCGGAGCCGGGGCCGGGGCCGGGCCTTGGGAGCCCTGGGCTGGTGGTGCTCGGGGCGGGGTGGGCTTAGTCCAGCCGTGGGGGTAGAGACGAGGGCAGTGAAAAATAAGATGCGGTTAACTAGGTGGGGAGCAGTAGGTTGAGGAGTAGAGTTAAGCCTCGAAGGTAGGGAAAGAAGTGCTGAAAGAGCGAGGACCCGAGGAAGCTGAGGGGACGGTTGTTCTGCAGAGCCTTGGATGCTTTAGGTAAAGGTACATAAGTCCTCCCAGCTCTCGTAGGCACAGGGGAGGGAGAAGCCCGTTCCGTGGCCTGGGTCAGGTAGGATCATGGAGTAACTCAGGTCGGAAGGGGCTTGAGAAGATCTCTAGTCCAGTCTCCTGCTCAAAGCAGGGTCGGCCGTAACCCCAGCTGCTCAGGGCTTTATCCGGTTGGATTCTGAAGGCCTCTAAAGACAGAGATTGCACCACTTCTCTGGGCGTTCTGTGCCACTGCTTGGCTGTCCTCGTGAGGATAAAGATTCCCTTTACACACAGGCTCAACCTTTTCTGTTTCAGTCTTTGTTGTCTCATCCGCCCACCGTGCGCTGCTGTGAAGCATCTGGTTCTGTCGACTTGATACCTTCCCCAGTAGTTCTCCGGCTGAACAAGCCCATGTCCCTCAGCTACTTCTCACAGGGCCTGTGCTCCAGCCCCCTGGCCATCTTGGCGGCCCTGTGCTGAACTCAGTCCAGTTTATCAATGTCTTTGCTGTATGGGGGAGCCCAAAATGGGGCAGACTGCTCCAGATAGGGTCTAACTAGTGTTGAATAAAGGGGGCTGATCACTTTTCTCCATCTACTGGCTACACTCCTGTTAGTACAGCCCTTGCTGTCGGGGCACGTTGCTGGCTGCTGCTGACTTTACTGTCCATGGAGACCCCCAGGTCCCTTTCCGCAGAGCTGGTCCCCAACCAGCCAGTCACCAGCCTGTGTCACTGCAAGGTGCTCTTCCTTCCCAGGTGCGGGGCTTTGTGTTTCTCCTTGAATTGTGTGCTGGAACACAATTCTTTAAACCCAGCAAAATATAACTTTAAAACAGGTGAGTGTATATGGCTGCATATAGATATGCGCATGTGTGTGTATATCTAGTTACCTATGTATCTCTATATATTAAAAAATAAAAAGCAAAACACAGTTACCTTACTAGGTCACATCCTTATCTAGGTCATATTCCAACCCTGTAAGCTGATGCATTGATTAAGCTAATGTTATCCAGTGACACTGCGAAGAAATTACTTAGCTATATTGATTAGTTGGAGACCAAAATGGACTGCGTAGCCTTGATTCCTAACCTGTTTTGGCTAACATTCTGTTTTTTCCTCCTTTTGTATTACGTTTCCCTTTATACCTACTGTTTCCCCAGACTTAAGTTTTTATAACTGGTTTGCTTTTGGAATAATATATGAATTTTATCTTGCCTCAGTCTTCTGATATTATTCCCATGTCTTTCTTCTGCGTACTGATTCCAGATCATGAAGAGCGAAGTACTGAGAGTGACCCATGAGCTTCAGGCCATGAAAGACAAGATCAAAGAGAACAGCGAGAAGATCAAAGTGAACAAAACCCTGCCATATCTTGTCTCCAACGTTATCGAGGTGAGAGCGGCGCGCTCTTCCGCAGCAATGTGAGAAGTGTGCGCAATGTATATCGGGAGGGAGAAGGGCAGGGGGATGCATTGGTAATTTGAGATGTGGCATATTCTCAAACTACTGGTGCTTCTGCAGCCAGGACTTCCAGGTTTTTCTATTGGTTTTATTTGTGACCTGGAAGCACAAGTCACTTGCCCGCTTCTTGTCTGGGTCGTTCCTTGGGTGTTGGCTACTGTTCATCTGCACATAACATAGCCATCGGAGCGTGCACGCAGCCTCGCTTAGTCTAGACTTGGGCATGTGAGATTTGGTATGTGCTTTCTGAAACTTGTGACACAGCACATGAAAAGCAGTGACTCTGTTATTACATCACATTCTTTCTGTAATTCAGTAGTTTTGCTGATAGGCCAAAAAAATGCTGATAGTTTCCTGTTTTTAAAAAGAGGGGATTGGTTTGTACTAGTGTTTTAAAACTTAACGAACTTAAGGTTTAATGTGAGCTGCTGTAATGGGAGGAGAAATCGGTGCCCCCATTAGCGACTGCTTTGTTCTGAACTTTATAGTGTCTTCCTATGCGCTGTCATGTACTGCTTCATGAGGAAAGGAAGAAACTAATTTTTAGAGGAGGGATTTAACGCTTTCAGGATTCTACTGCTGATGGATGATGGGAAGTTTTATTTCGCCTACTGCATGTAATTTAGAAACGTTAATCCTGAGGTCATCCTGCTAGCCTGGTTACATTGTCATGAAATCTCTGTCTCTGGTTTTCAGCTGCTGGATGTTGACCCCAATGACCAGGAGGAGGATGGAGCAAACATTGATCTGGATTCCCAGAGAAAGGGCAAGTGTGCTGTGATCAAGACCTCTACGCGCCAGGTAAGACCCACATACCCAGCTAGGGGTGAGGAGTGCTGAAAAGGACCTTCTCCTAGTACAGCTGGTTTTGCTTACTTTGATTTCTTTCCTACAGACATATTTCCTGCCTGTTATTGGGTTGGTTGATGCAGAGAAGTTGAAGCCTGGAGACCTAGTGGTGAGTGGTGCTGTTGTGACTGTTGGATGTGATGTTGGTCAGAAAATTGCGTACATCTTGCCCTTTATAAAGGAGAAAAATCTGTCCAGATTTCCCCAAGACCATTTCTGTACTAAAATTTTAAGAAAAAGATATTATGGGTTCAGTCATGTTTGTAGTATAGAAAAGTAGTTTAGGGGGGTGTGTTCTTTATACATAAATTAGGTGCTGAAAATTTAGATATCACCCAGTAAGCTTTCTAAACCCAATCTGTTGTATCGTAAGTAAGTTGGACCGCTCTTTTTCAAAATGTGCTATGTTAGCTATGGCGTTGTCCACTGTGCCAAGCTGTGGTGATTTGGTGAGTGCAAATATCAAAGCTGGTTATTCCTGCATCCCTGAGGTCTAGTGAATCATCTTTGATTGTGTGTTTATTAATTGCTATCTGAAGGGCCTGTTAAAAGCAAAGGACTTGTGTTTACAGGGGGTGAACAAAGACTCTTACTTGATCCTGGAGACTCTACCTACTGAATATGATTCACGGGTGAAAGCCATGGAGGTGGATGAGAGACCCACAGAGCAGTACAGTGACATCGGGGGGCTGGATAAACAAATCCAAGAGGTGATACTTTATGTTTAGTTTCTGGTGTGACTGAGGACAATGGTGTTTGAACTTCAGCTCAAAGCAGGCAGCCTGGATCTGTGGAGGAGAAGGGGTTTATGTATTAATCTTTTTCTTTTGCTGTAGCTTGTGGAGGCCATTGTGCTGCCAATGAATCATAAGGAGAAATTTGAAAACTTGGGTATACAGCCGCCCAAAGGAGTCCTTATGTACGGGCCTCCAGGAACAGGGAAGACGCTTTTAGCTCGAGCATGTGCGGCCCAGACCAAGGTAAAAGGAACCTTTGAAAGCATGTGCTGCTGTAGAACAGTGCCTGAAAAAGAACACCTCTGAGGGGGAGAGGGGTCATACATACAAACTTGTGTTACAAAGGCTCAGATTTTCTTGTCTGCTTGCTTGGTTAGTTGTTTTAGTTATGGGCTTCTTGTAGTACCCAGAACTGACCCTATTGAGAAACGAGGCATAGAATTCTCTTTCCTTTCCCAGGCTACGTTCCTGAAGCTTGCGGGTCCACAGCTTGTGCAGATGTTCATTGGTGATGGAGCTAAGCTGGTACGTGATGCTTTTGCTCTAGCCAAGGAAAAAGCCCCTTCCATCATCTTTATTGACGAACTGGATGCTATTGGCACTAAAAGGTGAGGCGTGGGCCATGTTGTAAAGCTCTTGGGAGCTGCCTAGCAGCCTCCTTTGCCTGTGCATGTGAGGGAAGCCTAGCTTAAAGCGTGGCCTATTCAGGAACAGAGCGTAAAGCCAACCACAGATAGATAGCAGTTGCCACAATCTTTGGGCTCATGAGCAAAGTTCATGAGACTTGGGATCTATCTGACAGTCTCCTGCTGTATAAAACTGTTTTCTGATAACTGCATCAGAACTGTTCACCCTCCTTTACTACTTGGGCCTTTAGCCCCATTCAGCTGTAAGGACATAATCAGACTTAGCTGCTGCTGACGGTTACTCTAGTCATGGTCCTCATCAAGGTAGGTCTTCCTGTAATTTCAAGGAGGTTGGAAGACCTTGGCCAAGGAGTGTGAGCTGCAGTCATTCTGTCTTTTTATGTGATTAAAAACATAGGGGCAGGGTGGTCAGGTTCACGCTGACAGTTTTACCCTTGTTTCCTCCTCAGGTTTGACAGTGAGAAGGCTGGTGATCGGGAAGTGCAGAGGACCATGCTGGAGCTGCTTAATCAACTTGATGGTTTCCAGCCCAACACACAAGTCAAGGTTGGGATCTAGCAGAGAGTGCTACTGAGGTCCAGGGTGCTCTAGCAGGGGATGGAAAACAATGCCCAGGGAAGAAGCTTGGTGGAGCCTTGGGGAGGAGAGGCCTGTCCTCCAGGTGCCTCAGACTGACGACCCTACTTCTACTTAGGTGATTGCTGCAACCAACCGGGTTGATATCTTGGACCCAGCTTTGCTCCGCTCTGGACGATTAGATCGCAAGATTGAGTTCCCGATGCCTAATGAAGAGGCCAGAGCCAGAATTATGCAGATCCATTCACGCAAAATGAATGTCAGGTATGGCAGACGCATGGCCTTCTGGGGCTATGTTTGTCACTCATGATGGTACCTCAGGGCTGTGGAGTGGTAGGTGCTGGTGCTCTTTTGTTGAGAGCTCCTTGTTGGGTTTTAAGGAAGCTCCATACCTTGCTTTTTCTATTTGGTACATGTTCTCAGACTTTTTTTCCCCTCTCCCCTGCTGCTCATGTCAGCCCTGATGTGAACTATGAAGAACTGGCTCGCTGCACAGATGATTTCAATGGAGCCCAGTGCAAGGCTGTGTGTGTTGAAGCGGTAAGTATTCCTCTACAGCAGCCAGCGCTGATCAGTGGGAACTGTGAAAGCTAGCATGGTGTAATTACTTTGAACTGCTGTGATGCTCACATGCCCTCTCTAAATACTGTCTCCTTGGGCAGGGGATGATTGCCCTTCGCCGTGGAGCTACAGAGCTCACCCACGAGGACTACATGGAAGGAATCCTGGAGGTTCAAGCAAAGAAAAAAGCCAATCTGCAGTACTATGCCTGATCTCTGCCCAGTCAAGGTTGTGGCCTTGGCAGAGGGCAGGACTAGACTGGACTGTACCACTTACTTTCTGTCTGGAAAAAATAAAGCATTTTTTCCCTCTAAAAACAAATCCTTGATGTGTTGGGGCTGTTGCCCTTACTCAGTGGTTCTACATCTGCAAAAGGGAAGGTGAGAACCTCCTGTCCACGGCGCCCAGCATGCTGCCTTTGGAGCCTCCTCCTGCTAGAACTGGATTAAATCCTGCTCTGCTACTTCTATATGAGGACCAACAGGTTATACCGCAGTAAGTGTACTTTGAAATTGATGAACTGCAGCTCAGACAGCATCCCCTGTTTTTACCTGTGCAGCCAGTGGACAGACCGTACAGCTTTATTAGAGTCTTTGAAACTTCAGAACTAACACTCATTTTGCAAGGGAGAAGCGAACACGATTTACACATGGACTATGTTTTAACTTTGTCATTTAAACTTAATTCTGGAAGCTTTAACACCATTGGTGAATGCATGTATGAGCTCTCTGGTGAATCAGTCCGGTAATTAATCAGAAAGAATTCAAGGTTTCATCCACTGAGCAAGTCTTTCAGTACTTTTAATGCCAGTTGAGAATTACAACTTCCATTTAAAAATTACACTTTTCATAAATACACTGACTTTAGCATTAAGTATCTTACATGCCACTGTATTGTATTTTAAATACAATGTAAACATCTCCAAATGCTGGCCATCTCATCTTTACCTGTGCAGTTTTTGGACGCTTGGGAGAGGGGCAAGGATGTGAGGGAATAAAGAATAGATGAATGAAAGAAAAATGCACCCCAAAGTACTTTGGCTGATGTTCCTGAGTTAGCCCTAGTACTTGCACTGGTTCCAAGGTCCTTGCCTCTCTTTTTTGGAGAGGGAGCTTGTTCCAGCGGAGCATGCATGTTCTTGACATGCTGTGCTCAGGGGCATTTGACATTAGAAAGGGTTGAGTGGTGAAGTGAGCAGAAGCCACGCGTTCCTGAGGAAAATACATTGCGGTTCCTTTGGACATTACTATTAGAGGGGGCTGTACATCTTCTGCTATTTTAGCAGTACTGGTATTTGAGCTTGGGGAGAATTGCTCATCTCCTTTCACAGAACAGGAGTTGCACCCACAAGTTAGTTAGGGGGTGAAAGTTGATCCCAGCAGCTCAAACTATGACATACTTTCAGAAATATACCCTGGCCTCTAGTGGAATAGTTACAAGCTGCACGTTGCATACATCTCCCCACTAAAACAAGGGTATGTTACTTAGCCAAATGAGTAACCTTACCTGTGTAAGAAGCTGAGGAAAACTTTCCCCTCCTTTCCTAAAGCCAGTAAGAGGGGTTTTTAGAGTCTTGCTGCTCAGTTACAGCTGGCTCCTTTTGGAAACAGCTTTAGTAGTAAGTAAATAGCTGATGCCACAGCATGGAATAGCACAGATTTCTGATTTAAATGAATTAATACTAAGCATGGGCTAATTCTTTGGCCTAAATCTCAGCTTAAATCAAGGTTCTTTTGGGAAATGATGGCCTGAGCCAACACTAGACACGCCTGTTGCAAAAGTGTTCAAGCCAACTTCACGTAGCTCCTTGCCCTAATTTGGGTCTGAATTACACAGACCTGCAGCAATAGAGTTGGTGCGTAAACATCCCTTACAACTGGACAATAACAGGACCATGGAGGTACAGTTCAAAAAACAGCACAAAAAAAGACACAGCCTTGGACTTAATCCCTTGTAAACAGAAGAAAACCAAATCAAAAGAACTGTCCCCCTTAAACCATCAACGAGCAAATCGCCAATAATTCAAACCTGGAGTTACTTGCAATGTCTGTGTCTGTGACTGGAGGCTGTAGCAGCATCCCATGGCCTGGTATTTCCACAGCTATGGCACTGCTCTCCACACGCTGACATGCCACCTCTTCCTGGTGTTAACCCGCAGCTCTGCCCAGGCTGCGCTTTCCAGAGTCTCTCCTCATCCCTCCGAGGTCACACAGCCCCATTTTCTTGTCTGGGTTTTTGTACGGATGCCCGAGAAGTGTTGAGTGATGGGGCCAATGTGCAGAGGAACCCAGCCAGCAGGGTGAGGCCCAGGCCTCCCCAGGCACAGAACATGGACCAGCCATAGCCATGACTGATGTCCTCTGGCAGCCCATAGACGTAGCGAGGATAGCGAGATAGCTCAAAATTGATCCCAGCTACGCATGTGCAGAGTGAGATGATACAGCAGGTACCTGCAGGAGAAAAGCAAGAGCGTTCTACACTGCCCTCAGGTTAATTACGCTCTGTTTTTTCCCTACATATTTTCAAAGTCATGAACTTTCAAAATCAAGAATAACCTTTTTTTTTTTGTCCTACCAGTCACTCTTCTTACAAGGGGGAGGGACAGGGGCTGGGGAAGGCAATATATGTAGGACTATGGGATACCTCACTTCACAAATGACCAATATTGCCTTAGCTCCCCCTGTTGCTATTTTGAACTCAGTCATGTAGTTCATCATGCTTCAATTCCCCCGAGAAGTTCCAATGGCTAATAGCATCACATTCCAAACAGTACTTGGGCAGTTTCTCCTATGGAAAGTAAATAGCTGAAGCCCAGGGCTGCAAAAAGTGCAGCACTGCTTAGTTTCTACTAAGCGTGTCCAGACTCCGGACAGCTGTAGCCTAGGCCTATAGAAGGTGCCCAGGTTTTTGTTATCCACTAAACATTCACTAAGCACCTATACAGAGAAGCAAAAAAGCCAGAAACTTACAACACAAGGCACTCCAGTATCTCTAATATACACTAGTACTCAAGGTTGAGATGATCATTTTATTCTCTCCAGCTCTGGATCTGTGTCTACTAATGACGACTCTTGCTGCTGACGGCATGCCTATCATGGTTAAGTGCAGAAGCACTCAAAGGGGACCCAGTCTACCTGTTGCACTTATAATACTTTACTCTCTCACTGCTGTGTGATAAAGAAACGAAAATGTTCCCAAAGGAAACTGCAGTTAAGCAGTATGTAAGAGGACAGCACAAGCCTACCTTCCAGCCTTTCTAGCAGCATGCCATGCCAGCAGGGTGGTTTTCTGTGCAGCTCCCCAAAAACACTGCTTGAGAAGGCTCGCTTATGGCTAGGGAAGATTTCCTCCCCTCCCCCCAAAAAAGTGGCACAAAACACACCTATTTGTTTAACTGCTCTAGACGCTGTTATATCACCACATTCCTTGCTTGCAGCCATTATAGATGCTGATACTGGGCCTCTAGGGTAGCAGATCTGGCTTTGAAGTAGAGCCTCATTTTTCATACTTGAAAGTTGCCTATTTACCGCTTGCAATTTAAGAGTCATCATCCTTGGAGCATCTCAGCTCACCCTTTTGGTGCATTTGTCACTACTATGCCCCTTTCAAATAAAGACAAAACACTGCCCATTTTTGAGCTGAACAGTCAAAGTTCAGAAAAAAACTTTGGCCATGCAGAAAGTCTGCTCCCAGCCAGGAGGAACAGATGTAACAAATACCCCTGGCAAGCACTGAGCTCATGTCCTTACCTCTGGGCCAATGTTCTCCAGGCTTGTCTGGGTTTGGACTTCATTGTTACCTAAAGATGTGAGCATCTTTCAGCAGCAGAAAGGTGCTCTACGTTGATTGTTTGTTTGTTTGTTAAGATTCCCTAGAGAAAACTGAGCTGCGCTGTCTGACAGGAGCCACAGGCTCCACACACTTGGCGCAGGCAAGAGGACTGTGCTCACTGTGCACGTGTTCCCTGTGGCTACACACCAGCTCTCCAGAGCAGAAGGCTCGTGTATGTACAGCGAGGTCTACTCAGAAACATGCAAATACCCACGCAAGCAAGTCCTGCCCAGTGCTGGAGGTGGTAATTCTGTGCTATGCTGATGATTTGCTGCACTAAAGAGCTGCTTTGTGTGTTTCCTGTGGGCTGACTTTACTTTTAAGAGCACCTCCCCAGCCAGCAATACTGACTGTGGTGACTTCAGGAGTAGAAGCGAAAGGCTCTCACCTCCCATTAGGAAGAGCAGCCCAGCCACGTACTGCATGAGCTCCTGCTGTTTGCAGCAGCCCAGCACACCAATGATCCACCCAAACAGGATGATGGAGACTGCCATGCCAATGAAGCCAGCTGTCATCCTCCGCAGATCTGAGGAAAGAGAAAGGAGAAAAGCAAGAAAGAAGACATGAAGATGGTGGCACCCAGACAGGACAGCCAGGGGAGAGTCCAGACAGATTTAGATTTGCTGGTTCTAAAGTTTATACTTCACCCATGGCCTCCACCTTCTGTAGCTTCTTTGAAGTAGATAGTTTGCCCATTACACTGAAACTAAAGGAATCCAGCTAACTTAACTCCCTTCTGCTGGGCACTGTACAACTAGAAAGCATTTCTGGCCTGATCAAGAGGAATACTGGCCAAATACTCCCCAACATGGGACAGAAGGGACACGTTATGAATTCAGCAATGATTTGTAAGCATTAATACTGCAATGGCTTTTTTTTTTTTTGGTGGTGGTGCGTTTCTTTGGGATGGAGTTTGTTGGGTGTCTGCTGAAAATAGAAATAAAAGAAATAAATGAAAGGGGTCGCTGAAGAGAAGTAAAGGACTAGCACATGGAAGGCAAGATAGTGTGAACTGAAAAGAGGAACAGTGGGAGGACAGAAGCAGACAGCAGATCAATACAGTATGACGGGAACAACTCCAGTAACAAGCTCTAAAAAACGCTTCGGCACCAGTGATATGAACAGCACTTTGTCATCCATAATACAAGTGCTGTTCTTGTCTCCTACTAGTTCAGTCTCTAGCTGGATTTCCTCAGCACTGAGGCTCACATGACAGGGGCTAGGCAGAATTATGTGAGGCAATAGAACCAGAAAACAATCAGAGAGAAGCAGGAGCAGAAAAAAACCTGATAAAATCATTCTCAGTGGCAGGCTACAGGTCAGTCATCTGTGTGGGAAGGACTTGGGCATCAGGCAGCTTGTGGGCTAGGAGCTGGTAACAGGAAGTTGCAAAGACAAACTGAGATGTTCCCTAAAAGGGCTAGTTGCCCCAGAGCTGCACCAGGTCACTGGTGTGCACACAGAAAAATGCAACAAGAGCTATACAGACTATACAGTGCTGCAGCACCTTTGCTGTAAGCCAGCTAGGAATTGCCTGCCCCCAGATCCAGAATATGATTTCACCTTGCGACATACAACACACATGCCTGTATTCCTGAATTCACCAATTAAGCCCCTCCAAATCTCACATCCCCTTTCAATTGTACTGTCAGCTGCTTGCCCTTCCTCACTAACAAGACGGCTAGCTTATTCAGAGCCCTCACTTGGCATTGCATTAAGGCATTAAGTAATCCAAACAGTCTTGTACGCTGCTTTAGGTTACTTACGGAGTGCATGCCACTCATCCTGCCGGATGGTGTTTGTGATGTTGATGGGTAAGTTGCGAGGCAGAGAGCTGGAGGTGTAGTGGTACTTCACAGCAGTGCAGCGCTGAATAACTCCTGTAAAAGAGACATCAGTGTGAAACAGCATGAAACTCCTATGCCTTGCATTTGCTGCTGAGTTGGCTGGCCCAGCATTGCTCACGCAGGGGAAGCCTTAGTTCAGTAACAGAGCAAACGTAAGCAAAAAAGCACTGTTTACTGCAAAGGCTTTGGGGAGCAGGAGGGGAGGGAGCCTTGCTACAGAAAAACACCAGCAAAGAGGGAGCAAGATGCTGACCCAGGCAGGCTTCAGGAAGGAGCAGCTGAAGACAAATAGTAATGACAGTCACCAAAAACAGCTCCAGAAGCTTCCTAGAGGAACTGGTACAATCTCTTTGGGATGGCTGAGGAGACAAGAACATGGCCAAGTACCATCAGGCCTGCTTTGTCTCTAAGAAGACAAGAGTTGAATCACTTTGAAAATTTTGAATGAATGCTGGGAAGTAAACTGCATGGGAGAAAAGTTTGAATTCACTCCAGTAGTCATTAGCTCTTTGCTTTACTTTCAATGAGCAATTGGACCCAAGTAGGCTTGTTTCTGTTACAGCTTGAAGTGTACCCCAGATGCAAATGTGAACCTACACGCATGCTCCTCTTGAAAGGGATTTTTAGTTTAGGAAACAACTGGTAAGAAAGAAGATTCTGAGAGTGGAGGGAGAGGAAGGGGCCTTGCCCCCCCTGTTATAAATAAAGCCAGGGCCAGGGCAGTGGGGTGGGGAGAATCAATCTGGATGGTGGGGTGGAAGGGAACAGCCAGAAAGGTAAAAGAGCTACATAGTACAAAAAGTTACCCCTTAAACAAGGGCTACAGGGTCATTACAGCTATTTAAATGCTGGGGCAGAAGAACCATTCAGAAACAATCAGTTGGCCAGTGAGCTAATTAAGCTGGTGAACAATCACTAGCAGGGAGCTGCAGACTCAGTGATGAGCTTTGCAAAAGACACTCAAAAAAACAGAAGAAATGGGCTTTGTGCTGCTCCTGCAGCAACGGGAGGCATGATTTTGTTCTCTAACAACGTTCACTGGGACTGTACTGACCTGGTTTCTGCAAGGACCTGCAAAGAGGAAGCCCCCGCTTCACAAGATTAGGAGTTGCACACAAGAGGCCCAGCCAATTCCAGCCATCAGGCCAGGGAGGGAAAGGTGATCTGAATTTTCCCACATTAAAAAAACAGTGACATTTGTTACTGAGTGGAACAAGCAGACATGTAAAGAATGTGCCCCAAAAGGGGAAAACCCAAAGCTAGACTTCCAAAAGCCCCTGAGCAGCAAAGCATTTCAAGCTCGCCCCATCCTTGGCTGCGCTTCCCACCACCCCCTTGCCCTGCTGTGGTTCCTGGCCGCCTCCCCCAACACCACAGGGCGCTGGCACCGATACACCCATACACAGAGTTGCTGCCCTTCACCTCCAGCTGCTTGCCCTCGCCGTGCGGAGCAGTGCACGTTCTTTGCAGCTGTTTCAGAACAAGTCTCTCGTGCTGCCTGAGCAAATGGATCAGCAAGACAACCCAGTAATGGAGGATGCCAGTTCATTTGCAAAAGCTCTGTAAACATCTGAACTAAGAACTTTGGCCATATACAGCACATCACAGTATCTAATTCAATTTCACCTATAACTGTTGACTGAATTCAATTTCAATATTGACATGATTTACATGTGTTGTTGAAAAATACATCTATGGTACAAACTAATGACATCAGATTTTAGACTTCAATGCACTGGATTCATTAAAAGTAAGATCTATGCACTTTTACATATTCCGATTATAAAAGTACTATATATGAAGCAGTATTTTATATGAGAGCAAGGATTACTACTTTTATAGCTCATTAAAGAAAAATCAAAGACTAGAGATGTACATTCCTTACGATCAAAGCTATGGACTCCTCAGCTAAAATGTCACTGAGAAAATCTTTGTATTATTACAAGAGTTTACAAGTAGACTAAAAGTAAAAGCTCTCCACCTGGTTTAGCAGTTTTCAGGTTATTTAGAAGTTTTCAAATATCAATTGAAAACTGATTATTTAGAAGTTCTTTTCTAAAAAAACTGGTTTATTAGAAGTTTTCAAATATCGATTCATTCTGCCTCTGGTTTAAAAACTTTACTCCTAATCCTTTCTTCCCCAGAATTCAAAGTGCTAATTTTATGTAGGTAGCACATAAAATTGTATTAAAACGGCAAGTTTGCAAAACAAAGCGCTCCAGAGATAGAGAATTTTAGGGCTTATGCTCAGTGCTGACCTCTGATCCATGGGCTTGGTGACAGCCTTCGATTACACCATCACAAGCTGTTTTTCCAATCAGATTCCCATTTCTCTGAGAGCACAGGCTGGACCTGCTCTGGTGTGAGCCACTACAGGCAAAACAAGGGAGCCCTCTCTCTGTAGGTCTACTAGAAAAGCTCAAACAGGTAGGCAAGAGAATCAGAGGATCAGGGAAGCACTGAGGGTGATCTCTACCCACTTTCTCCCAGAAAATCGTAACATGCACCCAGGCAATCCTCAGTAGCCAGATTTTGCATCTGCAATCACTAGTTCATGCTTCCCGTTTTCCGAGTGAATCTCTAAGTCTAATTTTCAGTGATGCTATGCACTCAAATATAGCCAGGTACTCCATGGGGCTGCATTTAGAGAGATATAACACGTTGCTCTCCAAGTACTCAAGAAAACAGGAGAAAAAAAAAATTAGGTTTGTAGTCTCAAAGTTATTGTGAAGTCAAAGGCATTTCAAAGGTATTCCAGTAAGTCCATTGTCCTAAGCCCTTATGTACCTTAAATCACAGTCTATAAAATAGGCACACCATCCTGCCCTCCATTTCAGGAACCTGCTAGCAAAGTGATTTTGCTTTTGTTTAAAAACACACTCAGATAAGCACCATCAGAAAGCCTGCCAACATTAAAAACTTTGCCTTCAGGCAAGGGCTTGAATAGAATGGACTCATGTGGTGAACAACACACCAAAACAAGTGAGCAAGCATTGTCTTTTTTGGCACACAAGTTGAGAATACAGGACAGAAGGGGGCAGGTACTCATGTCATTAGCTTACCATAAAGCACACATACAAGAAAAAGGTTACGCAGACAGCCTGATCCTTGCATTTCTTAGGGGCATCAAAAGAACACTATGAAAGTTGCATGTGCAATTTTCTTGATTAAAAAATAAACATAAGAAGCAATGAACTGCATCTGGCAGTGTCACATTGACACTTTCATGGCCAAGCTACATGCCTGTGCCTGCCCTCCCACCGCCAACATTGTTTCTCACACTTTGTCATCAGTGTGGTTTTTTTTTTTCCCCTCAGGATTGCAACTGCAGACAGGTTCCCCTCCCGTACCCTCTCACAACCCTTGGGACACTACATGTGAGTGTCCCTGGACAAGTCTTTTCTCCTGACTGAACATGAAGGCAGGAAAAGATCAGAGGACGCTGGCTAGAAAGAATTTCTGGACCTCCAGATACCAAGGCAGAGCACAGGCCCCTTGTCCCTGGGCTGCCAGACACCTGGAAACCCAGACCCAGGCCTGCTGTGACACATTCAATTTGTAATCCTGGGCTCAGCACACCCCAACTTTTTCTCAGTTTAGTTTTCATCTCTCTCCGACTTTGAAACATTCAGGTTTTCTTCTCTACTACACTGCCTATGTGCCAGCGTTATGAGGAGGAAATGCAGGGCTTCTCATTTTCAGTTCTGCTACCTGGCCCAGTCCTATCTTAGAGCAGTTTGGCGCTCACACACCTGGGAGACACCCTCTCCTTCTCACCACGAGCATGGCCAGGGAGCAGCCATGGGCAGTTAACAGTGAGCTACCACATGAGGTCTGGCCCTCCCCTCCCTCATGCCCCAGGACCAAGTGGCCACTGAAACTCCCTTGTCTATTCCCACCACTTCTGCCCGGGATTGTGGAGAGCATCACAGCTATGGGATCACTCTGTCCACATTGTCACCCAAAGGCCACTAGATCTGGTCAATCAACCTTCCTTGAAAACACCATGATAACTCTTACAGATCATATTGTCTGACAGATCACACTTACCAACAGCCATGACCAAACTGAGTTTGTTAAATATGCTACTATAATAGATGCTCTACAGACCTCACAATCATTCCTGTAACTCTTCCAATTTATCATCAGTTGGAAAGGATGGGAAGTACAGACACCAGGACTGAGCCGTTTTCTCTCAAGGGCCTCATTACTGCCATAAACTGTTGTGTTCCTCTGCTTAAGCATCCAGTGGTTCTTCTCACTTCCTCAGCCACATCATGGTACCCAGAAGTCATTTCTGCCCAGTATGTGTGAGACGTACCAGTCCCACCCCAGAGTCTTTTCAGAGCAAGCTTGAAAAGCAATAAAATCCCCAGTTTATGAACAGCAATAAAACTTTTCTAATTCCTTCAATTTACTGGTGTTAAAATGCATGTTGTTCAAATGAACCCAGCAAGTTATCCAAAGCAGCCTACAAGAATGGATCTTTCCTAATTAATCATTTTCTACTGTCACCACTTTGTAAACAACATTTTTTTCATATTAACGGAGAAGACCACTAAACAGCATATAATAAATCCCTGCAGGACCTCACTACTTAAGAAGACTCCATGCAAAAGGTTTTTGTTGCAGCATCAGTTACCCAGTGTATAATCCACACAGCACATGCTCTACAAGATGATGTATAGTGCTCAAGTTCTTACACTCAGAGAGTCCCTCCCTACACACACAGATCTTCTTTGTTTCCCCACCAAGCGTTTCAGTTCTTTGGCTGCTATCTTTTACTGGTGGCTAATCTCCATCTTCCCCATTTGCTTTGTACATTATTTCTTCTTTTGCCTTCTTAATTGTATTTTTTAAATGAAACTATCTATTTTTTTCACAGTTCCAAAACAGTGATTTTGCATTTTAAGAAAAATCCCACACATCATTCCACTCTTACATTTAAATATTTCCCACCTCTCCGTTTTGCACTACATTTTTGAGTCCTGCTTTTTCCTTTTAAATATATAAAGTGAATATATTTTACATTTTTTTAAAACTGTATATTTTAGGTATATAAATGTATGCATGTATATGCATCATCAGCTAAAATGCTCGAGTATGAAAGTTTCCACAGAACTGCTTTGTATTAATAGTAGTAGATAAATACAGGACTAGAAATCCATGGAACTATCTAAATGGATAAGGGTACTTATGGCCTTAGTCATTTTTTCAGAATTCAAGAGAGACCCAGAAAGGAAAGAAACCTTATTCCAGAGCTACTAGAAAATGGAGAGTATAAACCCAAACCAAAATCACCACAGGACTGTCATAAAAAAAAAATAAAATTAAAAATTTACTCCTCTGTCACTAAAAGCCTATTTAAAAATCTCTAGTTTAAGGAATATTAGGAATATAAGAAGGCATCACACATCACCAAAGAGCTAGCTGAAAACTTACTGCAAATTGAGGAGAAGGTAGGACTTTCAGAGGTGCACAGTAGTGATCTTCAGCTCACACTAGGGAAAAAACGCCTGTTTTTTTCTTTTTGGAAACCCCAGATCTAGTATCATGCTTGAGATAACAGCTCAGCCACAGCCACACCTGACCACTGGCCGGAAAAGGCTGCTTAATCACAGTTGTCAGAGAAAAGATAGACACAGCAGGAACACAGAAAGGCTGCTAGTAAAGCAGGTCAGGGGAAGGGATAAGAAGAGAGTCATACCTATTTAAAGACCTGACTCTACAAGAACTATTATTAATAATTTCCCTCTGTAAGATAACACATAAATCTTTACAGTAGCAACTGCAGACCTAATAGGCAAAGAATATGAGGGAAGCAAGGCTTGTAGGGAAAGGCAAGGTCTTTTATTAGAACAGCTGAAGAAAAAAAGGAAGTGGAAGGAAAACCTTTTGGATTTAGAGTCCCTCCAGTTCTACACACCAGACCCTGAGGAAGATCATCACCACCCTGTAATGCCCTTGTGCATGCAGAAGGCAGACTCCAGCCTCTCTGTATGACCATGGTATTGTTGGGAAAATACCTCAGAAACAGAAGTATTGAGAACCAAACTACTATCCTTCCCATCCCTTCCCCCAGCTTTTGCTAATCTCAATAGGAGCTGAAAGCATTTGGCTTGATGTGAAGCAAAAAAAACAGATAAATATTTTACATGACAGGCACAATTAATAGAAATAAATTAATGAGCTGCCTTTTAGTGAAATGAGATCAACATGGAAATAAAAATGAAAATGCATAAAATGGATCCTAGGAGATTAAATAGAGAAAGAAGCTAATCACACAGCATAGAGTTTCTAAAAGTAAGAGTCACTGCTGTGCATTGGAAAGGAAGGACAAAGACGGGCTGAGCTTCACAGTGCCAGTCTATCTGTCCTCTGCTGTGCAGGACTGGCGTCACAGTTGGAAGTCACGCTGAAGAACTGCTCCCACTTTCTTAAGATAGCATTTCCATTTTGTGCCTCAGTGGAAGCTCTGCTCCCAACTCCTACTCTCCCTGTGCTAATAGGTACCTGCTGGAACAATAAGTCCTGTTACTTATCATTAACCATACACAGCATTTCTTATCCTAAGCTTGTTTTATATGTAATTTATTTTGACTTAACTACATTATTTGTACCATCCAGTCCAGGAATTTTATTCACACTTTGTGAACTGCTCGGCTTTGTACCGTGCTCCACAACAGCAGAAAATCCACAGCTTTCTCTCTCCTGTCACCCCTGGAGCCCTGAGTGATATCTGCCACCGTGAAGGTGGCAATCCCCTGCAGCAACGAGAACTCCCCCATGCTAGAACAGGAACAACAGGTCCCTTTCCCCTTGCCGCAAACATCACGGAGCTACCGGCAATACGGTACATTTCTCAGCGCTCAAGAACAAGAAGGTGTCAGGGTTATGAGAATGCCCACCCAGACCTTGCTCGAGTGTCAGCGTCAGGCCCCGCGCTGGGCCACAGAAGGGGCTCTCCGAGGACGCGGTCCCACCCAGCACTGCAGCATTTTAAGCAGACAGGGCGGCGTACAACCCCCTCCCCGGGATGGGGTCAGGGCCACGCTCGCCGCCTCCCGCACGCCAGGGACACCTGAAGCCAAGGGGACCGTGCGGGGCTGCATCCGCGCCTTCCCGCCGGCCCCCCCCCCCCGCAGCGGCGCCAGCCGCGGCCCCGCCCGCAGACCC